CGGAGAGTTGAAATGTTGATTTGCTTTTGTTTATGTAGATATTGAACCAGAGAGCAATTGAGGTTTCAGAGAAAGTAAGACAGGGGACATTGTAGAAAGCAAACTGGTAAATCCTTGTTCTTGGTATAATCTTAAGCCATCGTGCATTAGAACACAAGATATGATTTGATATGGTGGGTTTGATTTACAAGAAGTTCCTGAAAACTAACATAGGTTATCCATCTACAAAGGCATAGAGATATTATGTTGTAGTAGTGGAGCACATTACGAAAGCAAACAAGGTAATTGTCCATTCTTAAATCTTTTTTTTCTTCTGTGTGAAGAAGACTGATGACAGTTTTAGATTGCTACTGTTTGCTTAAGAAATCAAACTATTTTAATTTGTTTTAAGCTTGAAATCTGCTAATTTTGTTTTGTATATGGTTTAAACCTTGTTTGTTCTACTTGCAATGATTTAGATTAATATGGATAAATCTGGATTAGCGAACCTCATTTATGTAGGTTAATAGTCTTCTTAGCTCTAATTGCAATGGTAGAAGGTAAGCTATATGTTATGTGTTTTCTTATATATAAACTAATTCATCACTAATATCATTTTTTATGTTTGTGCTATTTCAGGGAAAACTAAAAGCGAGAAGGGAAATGGATATATAGTGGTTTACCATAGACGCCCTCTCTGCAAGTTTCAACGTTTAGAATGTGCATAGGCAGATCAAGGAACATAGAGTAAGATTTTTGTATCTCTCAGAAGATCGCACTTGCTAATTAATCTTGCGTTAACTAATTAAGTTACAGGATCACAAAAAGACTATGCCAATATGAAACTTGCAGTGCAGATCATGAAACTTGCAGAACATGCTACTTCTCCTTCAAACAAACACAAACACAGTTTTGCCAATATGTACATCTTGAGATACTTTTGTTTCTATAAAATTAAAGTAGACATATTTCTTCTATAGCTTTTCTTTAATTTATGTTTTAGTGAAACAATGAATATTAAATATGATAACTGATTTTAGCATAACTATTTTGTATTTATTTTAGCATCGGTTTTTATAAATTTGAAAAAGTGATGTTAATAATATTTTAGCATCACTTTCTAATTGATGCAAATATTTGAGTTAACATCACTTATAAAAATTGACCTCAATCTCATGTTTTAGTGTCACTTATGTCAGTGACTTTAGTTTAATGTTTAGTGTCACTTATGAAAATTGACCTTATATTTTTTTTTTTTGATGAAATGTCAAATTTATTGATATGAATGAGTATAGTTATTTACATGTGGGAAAGAGATATCAAAGAATAATTCCTAAAATGGAAGACCCCAGATTTGGAGGCAATGTGTGATGTTAGGTCACGGTCACTTCAAACCATCTTCGAAGGATACTTTCATGCTTGTGAGGGAACTTGTAGTTTAGGGACAAAATCCTGTTTCTTACTGATTTGTCTATAACCTTCGAGAGTTGCTGATGAGAACTCCAACCGTTCTGATGTCTCCGAGTGTTCCTCTCCCTCCATATATGGTAAATCGTTGTTTGGAACAGGAGCCTCAGAAGTATCAAATCTTGCTCGGTCTGTGATGCACTAGTGAGGTAGCTTATTGTGTCTGTCCAATCTGGCGTGTCACTCGGTCCCAACAATCGACCTCCCAGACTTGTCCAGACCGTGTATGTGTAAGGACATGCAAAGAAGAGGTGATCCCTGGATTCACTCTGGTCGCCACAGAGTAGGCAGTTCTGCACGATACCCCAATCTCGCATTCTGACACCTGTGGCCAGACGGTCCTTAATTGCCAGCCAGGAAATGAAAGCATACCTTGGGACTGCTTGTGGGAACCATATGAGACGATGCCAAGGGACTGGAGGCCTCGATATTCTGAGTTGCTCCCACGTTTTAGTGGCCAAGAATGTACTCTGATAGTCATCCTCTGCATATCTCCAGAGAACTACGTCTTTTGCATCTACAGAAGGTGCTGGTAGGCGATTTATTTTAGCCAGTAACTCCTGATAAATGGGGCCTCGACAGCGACGGAATGCCCAACGTTCATCGACAACAACATCACAAACCTTAGCCTGGCGTGGGATCCCCATATGCCTGATGCCATGTTCTCCAGTAATGTCTATCAGTTTTCCAACCTGCAGCCAATCATCAAACCAAAAGAAAGCATTCTTTCCACTGTGAACATCAATCCTCATGAATTGGTACACAACATTTCTGAGTTTGAGGAGTTTGCGCCATATCCAGGAACCCTTTGAACCAATTTTTGCATCCCAAAAAGATCCATTGCGAAGGAGATACAATCGTATCCAATCTACCCACAGAGAACCCGAAAGCGTGAAGAGCCTCCAGACCAAACTTAGAGCAAAAACCCGAGATGAATCCTGTAGCTTACGCAGGCCTAGCCCTCCTTCTTCCTTCGGAAAACAGATATCCTCCCATGACACTTTTACTTTATGCGTGTCGGTAGGTGATCCCGACCTTATATTATTTTAGCATCATTTGTGAAATGAAACTATAGTAATTAACAACATTAAAAAAAATTATACAAGTATAATCTAAATGATACTAAAATTTAATTATACGTCATTTATAAAAGCGACGCAAAATAAATTTAGCATCATTAAAATTAGCATCTATACTATTTAAAGAGGATCCTATTTTTAAATTAACTTTTAGTAACTGTGTTATTTACAATATATGCCATCAAATTTCTATAGATTCATTAATGGTAATTTAGTCTTATCATTAAATTGTTAACAAATATATTAAATTAAATTAAATTATATTAATTTGTTAACATATAATACCAATAAATTATGTCTGATATTAATAAAATTTAAATTAATTTAAATTTGAAATTATTTTAAAATCTTTCATAATATCTTAACATAACTACCACATATATATAGCATGAATAACTAATATAATTATATATATATGATAAATTAAATATATATTATATTATAATCAATTTCTTCTCTATAGTATTAAAAGAAAAAGCACTATTTTAAAATATCTAAAAATTATTATGATATTTACTAAATGTGACAATTTATAGTCAATGATGAATATATAATCATTATTTTTTGTTACATATATACATACTATGAAAAAACTATTATGTAAATAATATAGTTTTTCTGGTTTGTTAATGATTTTTTGCGGAAAATTATAGGTTTACGGATTTGACAAACACAATTTTGTAGATTTTATGGATTTTACAAATTTTAGCGAGTTTTATAAATTTTAGCAGAAAATATAGTTTTCCAGAAAAAATGCCGGTTTGACAACAAATGTGCTTTTGTAGACTTAGCAGAAACACATAATTTTTGAAATTTGGTCTTAAATAACGATTTTGCAGATTTTACAGGATTTACGGATAAACACGGGTTTGTGAAATGCGAATAACGCAATTTTGCAAATTTTATGGGTTTTACAGGTTTTAGCTAGAAAATATAGTCATACAGAAAAATGCGGGTTTGAGAGTTTGGGAGAAACACATGAGTTTAGAAATTTGGTCGTAAAACATAATTTTATAATATTACAGAAAAACACGGGTCTTTGTGGATTTGACGAGAAACCTGATTTTTCGGATTTTACGAGGTTTACATGTTTTTGCGGGTTTTATAGGTTTTAATGGAAAATGTGGTTTTATGAATTTTATTGAAAATGCAGATTTGCGGGTTTGAAGACAAAATGCAATTTTGCAGGTTTGACGAAAACTACTTAATTTTAGAAACGTAGCCATAGAATACGATTTTATAGTGTTGGGGGAAAACATAATTTTTGGTTTTGTTAAAGAATCTGGGTTTACAGTTTTGACAGGAAAATACGGTTTGGTGAAAAATGCTATTTTTACAGTTTCTACTGTAATTTTTGGTTTTGGTACAACAACGTGATCTTACGATTTTGTGGTTTTTTTTATTTCGATAGAAAAATGTTTTTGACAAAAAAAACTTGATTTTGTGGTTTAAATTAAAAGATGTTTTTGTCTGTTAATTTTTAAGATTCAAATGCTGCATCAAATCTTTATTTTAGCATTTTAAATATCAAACTTTTGAGATATTGTAGAATTTGTATTCAGATAAAATATCTATACTAATTTAAAAATATTTAAAAGAACAATATTTGAGAGCATTTGCATTCAAATAAGTATCTGGAGGCAAAAACAAACAAAGCCTAAGAATCTTAATTACAAACAAATAAAATTTCTCTTACATTATAAAACATAATATTTAAAAATATTTGTTACAAAACTTAACAAAAAATCCACTAATCAAAATATTTTTTTTTACAAAATCAAGCCAGAATAATTTTAAGAACATAAAACCATATTGTTAAATTAGTTTATATAATTTAAGAAAAAAATTCTGTTTAGATCACAATTTTAAATTTAATAATATAAGCTAATTTTTTTTTGAACAAAAATTTACTATAAACCAACTTTTGCTATTATCCAAAAATTGCGCGGATTCAAAATCTAGTAGTAACTTTAAAAACAAATGATGTTAAACACGATGATTTTTGTAGTGACTGGTAGAGATAACGTGGTATGCTTCTTCTTGAATCTCTGTTTTACTCTTGTAGATGAAGCTGCTTCTTCCCTTCAGTAGTATGTTCCTTCGTAATTTCAATCTCATTTTGGTTGCAAATAAAATTTTAATTTGACTATTGACCAAAAACAAATAAAAATTAGACAAACATTCAAAAATCAGCGCAATTGTAATTTCTAGCCCACTGGGCCGAAATCGAAAAACCTGACTCGTCTTTTAAACCCAACTCTCGATTTGTTTTTCGCGGTTTCCTTTTTTGTTTTTTTGGGTGTTACATATATATTAAATATTAGACCTATGTTATAATTTTCCGTGAACACACAATCAGCCCTTCGCCTTCTGAGGTTCCAGAATAATGGTAATCGGATGTATTGTTCACCGTTAGAACTCGTTCTGCCGTCTGTTTAAGTCTGAGAATTAAACGTTTGTTTTCTGAATTCGCAGTCGGAATCAGAGAAGAAGATCCTTACGGAAGAGGAACTTGAGCGGAAGAAGAAGAAGGATGAAAAGGTTCGATCTTTTTTTCTTTTTCAGTTTCTTATAAACGTGGTTATGCTGTCTCCACAAGTGATTTTATAGGCTAGAGCAAAGGAATTGAAAAAGCTAAAAGCTTTGACGAAACAAAAACCTTGGGAGGCAAAAACGGCAGAAGATGGAACTAAAAGGAGCACAAAGAAGAGTTCCAAACGAGAGGCGTCACAAGAGAATCCTGAAGATTTCTTGGACCCTGAAACACCTCTTGGTGAGATAAAGAGGCTCTCTCCACAGATGGCCAAACAATACAGTCCTTCTGCCGTAGCGAAGTCGTGAGTCTTTGTGTAAGGGATTTTTTTCTTTTGAATAAATTTGAGCTGTGCTTTAAACTTGACAAGAGATTTTCTTCTTTCTTCTTTAATTTGGGTCAAAGATGGTATGCTTGGTGGGAGAAGTCTGACTTTTTTAAGGCGGACGCTAAAAGTTCCAAGCCACCCTTTTGCCTTTTCTATGGCAAGGCCTTATTCTTATTCTTGAATTCGTTTTAGTTACTGGTTTGAAGTTTTTTCTTTAATCCTTTCAACTGATTCCTGCAGGTTCTTCCTCCTCCAAATGTGACTGGAGTCTTGCATATCGGACATGCCCTAACTACTGCTATTCAGGTTTCATTAGCACTTTCTTGTTTAGCTCTATTGCTCCTCTCCTTATTGACATTTTGCTGGTAAAGGATACAATTATTCGTTGGAAGAGAATGTCTGGGTATAATGCTCTGTGGGTGCCTGGGATGGATCATGCTGGTATAGCTACACAGGTTCGCCATTGATCTCTCCCTAAAAACACAGTAAATCTTCTTTTGTCATGCTTGTAGAATATTTATTTTGTTTCATAATATTTGATGGGATGTACATTTTAGGTTGCGGTTGAGAAAAATATCATGCGGGAAAGAGGACTGACTAGGCATGACGTTGGTCGTGAAGAGTTCATAAATGAAGTGAGTTTGAAAATCAATAAAAAAAATACGCTCATGTATCGATATCCATTTTGCATTGTTTAAAAATTTCTTTGTGGTTTCTTATGATGATCATTGAAAAGGTGTGGAAGTGGAAGAATCAACACGGTGGCACAATTCAATCACAACTACGGCGTTTAGGAGCTTCTCTTGATTGGTCTCGTGAGGTAATATTCAGTGATCTGACCTTTCTTGGACAAACATTATTGGTGAGCTTATATGTAAACGAGTCTCTTATAGTTTGCTTGTATATATGCGTTTCTCTGCCTGTATTTTGTAGTGTTTTACAGTGGACGAGATAAGATCAAAAGCTGTCACTGAGGCCTTTGTACTGTTATACAAGGAAGGGCTTATCTATAGGTATGTTTAAGTCTGACTTTTGTTCTTTGACGCAAGCTATAGAATTCCCTTAGTATAAATCATATATTGTACCATGACTTGCGCAGGGATATTCGGCTTGTGAACTGGGATTGTGTTTTGCAAACAGCCGTATCTGATGTTGAGGTAATTGAGCAAATTCTGTTAAAACGATGATTATTGAACGGCTTCGTTTTCTATGCTGAGTGTGTCCGTGTATATTCTGTAGGTTGACTATATCGATATCAAAGAGATAACGCTACTAAAAGTTCCTGGCTGCGAGAAGCCAGTAGAATTTGGTGTTCTTACTTCATTTGCTTATCCTCTGGAGTGAGGCTTGGGCGAGGTTGTTGTTGCCACTACAAGAGTGGAAACAATGCTTGGGGATACTGCCATTGCTGTTCATCCTGATGATGCAAGATACAAGCATCTCCATGGGAAGTTTGCTGTGCACCCATTTAATGGACGCAAGTTACCAATCATCTGCGATGCAGAACTCATTGTTCCAAATTTTGGTACTGGTTGTGTTAAGGTATGTATATTTGGATGCTATGTTTAATGCCCCTCTATAACTTGTGTAAAAAGTTGCTTTATTCTTGTTTTGTAGATTACTCCTGCACATGACCACGATGATTGCAAGGTCGGAAAGCGTCACAATCTTGAGTTTATTAACATATTCACCGATGATGGAAAGATCAACACAAGTGGCGGGCCTGAATTCACAGGGGTGCCACGTTTTGCAGCTCGTGAGGCAGTTATTGAGACTCTGAAGAAGCAGGTAAAGTCATTAAATTCTTGATTGATTATTGGTTTGAGAAGATATCTTTGAGAATCGTACCTTGACTGTTTTTGTCAATATGTATGTATATATATATCGCAGGGGCTGTATAGAGATGCCAAAGACAATGAAATGAGGCTTGGACTTTGCCAAAGAAGCGGTGATGTTATTGAGCCTATGATTAAGCCTCAGTGGTACGTCAACTGTAGCATAATGGGAAAGGAAGCTCTCGATGTTGCTGCTGTCTCTGATGGAAACAAGAAGCTCGAGTTTATACCAAAACAGTACACAGCAGAATGGAGAAGGTTTCTTTCATTTATCATTTCACTCTAATTGTTTCTATCATTACCTCATCTATTAACAACAATGCACGATTGAATTATTAACAGATGGCTAGAGAACATACGTGACTGGTGTATTTCAAGACAGCTTTGGTGGGGCCACAGGATACCAGCATGGTATGCAACTCTCGAGGAAGATGAGCTCAAGGAGGTTGGCTCATACAATGACCATTGGGTTGTTGCTAGAACGGAGGAAGAAGCTCGAAGAGAAGCTTCTAGAAAATTTTCTGGGAAGAAGTTTGAACTCAGACAAGATGATGATGTACTTGATACGTGGTTTTCTTCTGGTCTCTTGCCGCTGTCTGGTCTGGGATGGCCTGATGAAACTGACGACTTTAAAGCTTTCTATCCGACATCTGTCCTTGAAACTGGACATGACATTCTCTTTTTTTGGGTTGCCCGTATGGTTATGATGGGAATGAAACTAAGTGGTAAATTTTCTAGTTAAAAACAAGGTGGTGATCACACTTACACACTCCTTAGTACTTACACATTTGTTTGTCTTTTTCTATATAGGTCTATTTTCATCCTATAATACGTGATGCACAAGGACGTAAGATGTCAAAATCTCTTGGAAATGGTATCGATCCCCTCGAAGTAGTAAACGGGGTGACTCTTGAGGGTCTTCACAAGAGACTAGATGCGAGTAACCTGGATCCAAAAGAGGTGGCATTTGCTAAACAAGGACAAGTGAAGGACTTTCCAAATGGTATCCCTGAATGTGGCTCTGACGCTCTTCGGTTTGCGCTTGTCTCCTACACTGCTCAGGTACTATATCCATTGCGTCATTACAACCTCTTATGCTGCTGCTCCTTCAAACGTATGATGTTGTGAACTAAGAATTTCTTTTCTACAGTCTGATAAAATAATCTTGGACATCCACCGACTTGTTGGTTACCGTCAATGGTGTAACAAACTGTGGAACGCTGTTAGATTTGCGATGATGAGGCTTGGCGATGATTATTCCCCTCCGGTGACTCTAAGCCCTGAAGCAATGCCATTTAGCTGCCAGTGGATTCTCTCTGTACTGAACAAGGCAGTATCAAAGACTGTCGAGTCGCTGAATGCATTCGAGTTTGCGGATGCGGCCAATACAGTGTACGCATGGTGGCAATATCAGTTCTGTGATGTGTACATTGAAGTAATCAAGCCTTATTTTGCTGGAGACAAGACGACGTTTGCTTCAGAGAGAGCACATGCACAAGATGCTCTCTGGGTATCTCTGGAGACTGGTTTGAGATTGCTTCACCCATTTATGCCGTTTGTTACTGAAGAGCTATGGCAACGTCTGCCTTCACCCAAAACTTCTGAAAGAAAGGTCTCTATCATGCTATGCGACTACCCATATATCTGCTATGGAGGTAAGTATGATTTTTTTTTTTTTTTTTTTAATTCGAAACTTGTCATAATAATTGTTTGGGTTTCTTTTAACTCTTTTTTTTCTTCTCATGTTAGAATTGGACAAATGATAAAGTGGAGTCGGAAATGGAAACGGTTCTAGCGATGGTGAAATCCGTGAGGGCACACCGGGCAGAGAAAATGAAAAATGAAAGGTCTGAATAATTTCAGAAATTTTATAACCATCCTGCATTTTTCTCATTAAGAATTAACGGGTAACGTATTTTTCAGGTTACCTGCTTCTGCTTTGTGTGAAAACATGTTAACATATGAAATCGCAAAATCTCACGAGTTGGAGATCAGAACCCTTACAAATCTATCATCCTTGGAGGTCAAAATAAGTCTACCTACGGTTTCTTCTTTTTTTTTTTTGGTTTAATCCTACGGTTTCTTCTTTCTTACGTTTTTCTCTATTGTTTAGTGTTTCTTTCTCTGAATTTTCTAATGGAGCTTTTCTCAATAGGTTCTGTTAAAGGGAGAACACTGAACCAAAACTTCGCAGATCTGAACAAGAAAAGACGAGGAACAAGATTGACGAACTACAGAAGTAAGCCCCCTATAATTGAATCACAACAAATTTGTCTGAAAAAGTAAAATTCTTCTTTGAGAATCCCTGCAAACATTTAAGAAAAAAACGCGAGAAAGTGCTGTCTCTTTGCAAAGACAGGAAATCAACAAGTGGAGCAGAAGAAGTGAAAAAGGACAAACGCATAATGATACATGAAACACCTTTTACATTATTGTTATTGGGATCTGGTTCGATTAGTTATGTACTGCTTATTCTAAAGATCATATGTTTCGTTCAGTCGCTCTGTTGTTGCATTGCGCATTTTAAGGATCATATGTTTCAACATCATCACTTGAATTCGTTCCGTCGATCTGCTATTGCATTGCGCAATGAACAATGCGCATTGTTAAAGTTAAGAAAAAAAAAAAAAAAAAAAACAATGCGCATTGCCACGGAGGTAGTGTTAACCGGGTCAACCGGTTTGAACTTTTAATGGTTTAAGGTCAACAGTAACTGACAAGTGACAACGATAATATATGTTGGGGCGAAATCGAGTTTAGCATATAATTAATTAAAAGCATTATTATTATTCAATTGTGAAGATTCATTTAAATGTTCAAATATGGGAAATTAGTTCATATAGCCATATAAACATCTATAATATGGAAAATAACCATACCAATATAATGGTTATGATAAAAAATATAAAGAATATCATGATAACCACTATATTGATATGTATGTAATTTTTCTAGAAGTGATAGTTATTTCTCCAATTGTTTGAATATGATAGTTATATTGTATGATTGTTTCACAAATATGATCATATAGCAAATTAATCCTTCAAACATCAAAATATTTTTTTTATACAATAAAAGTATTAAAAACACTATTTTATATTTGACTTACGCTGAAAATAAGTTATTTTCACACTAAAAAAAAAAAAAATATATATATATATATTAAAAACAAAATCACAAATGTTAAAAAGAATAGTTATGTTTCAGTTTAATCAAGCTTTGTTAATTCATAGTAAGCATGCATGTACAAAAAAAAAAAGAACAACAACCGTAATTGCAAATCTTGAACCAGTTTATAAATTTTGATTTAGTACACGGTTAAACCGACTAATCATTGTGTTGGTGGTGATGGTGAACAGTAAAGTGGCAATTTTTAAGTTGAAAGAAGAAAAACTATTCTCTTCATCGAAGTTGTCTCTATATTTTTCCTTTTAATATAAAGAGTTGGACTTTTAATATCATGAATTAGTAGACTACATACATGATGATTGATCAACACTCACATGTAATATGTGAGCAAGTCTACACTACTTTACCTATACCATCCCCTCTAAAAACCTTAATCTTCACTTCCCAAATCCAATTTGTGTACATCAAAATCAAAACCGGCAAGTACTTGCAATCAAATGTCTCACGGTCTGGTTTCCCTTTGCTTTACAGGTTTGTGGCTCATGATTCAACGGTATGGCCACTGCTTTGCAGTGTTAGTAGAGACAGAACATCTCTGATTCGAAACCCATTGCCCCAGAAAGAGGCAAGACACAGACCCATTATAGCCATTACAACCACAGAGCAAGCTGCTGGTACAGCTTGGCTGCTACCAAGAAACTGGCTTGCAAGAAGCCCGGCTAATGTCGAGCTCTGCATTCCGGTGCAGAGAGAGATCGTCCGGCTAACTTCTTCCTCTTGCCTGGTGTAAAGATTCAAACAACATAACCAAAAAGAGTTTCAAAGTTTAAGAAGATCTTTTAAGTGTTGAAGATGGTGTTACCTTAAGCCTGGGATCTTAGAGAACCAATACCCCACAACAAATGCTACCGCGTGGAATGTAATGACCGGAAGAATCAATCTAAGACCTTCTGATGAAAGAATCTGGCTTCGGTTTATCGAAAGAGGGCTCCCGATGCACAAAGAAGTGCATACCATAGCAACGAAAGGCATCACGGGTCGAAGAAGAGTGACCACAGGCTTTGCGTAAGTGTTTAACACAAGGCCAAGTGTGACTGGAACAAGCACCACCTACACACATATGGTCAAACATCAAAAAAAGAGAACGATGATTTGATTCTTTTCATAATCATATACTGCTAATACCCTTGTTTACATACCTGTAGTATGGACTTGGACATTGCGATTGCGTCAACAGGAACAACAGATCCGATAAGAAGACCGCTTAGCAATGGAGTAAAGAGAACAGAGGCAATAGTTGTACAGCTAGTGAGAAGAATGCTCATGGCTATATCTGCTTTGCTTAGAGAGCTCGCGTAGCTAGATAATTGAGCACCTGCCACACAACAGGTGAGTACAAAGCCAGCGTAAAAGGTTCTTGGCATCCCAAAGGCGTTAGCGACTAAAACCCCTAAGAGCGGTTTCAGAACATACTGAGCAAAAAACCCAACAGACAGTGGCACTGGTCTGCAACAACAACAAAAAAGAGTTCTTTTATCAATCTGCTTAAACCAAACTGCTGCAGAAGCTTGAAGAGGATAATGATTGGGTTACCTTTTGAATGCAAGAGCAAAATCGTCAATCGAAAGCTGGATTCCAATAGATAACATGATCCCTCCAAGAGCAGGAGCATAGAGTTCTTTAGATACCCTGAAAAAACATTTCATCTGATATTCATCTTAAATCCCATTCAAGAATCTTGGATCCTCTAAACAGAGCAAGTAAGCAGTAAAGCAGAAACACTAAGTAAAAGCCAGAGACTTTCTTGTTGATTCTCTTGATACACATGTTCATTCTAAGCTAAAACACTAGTTTTGTAAACCCATTTATGCATGAAGATATAAAAATATCTATCAATTGTTAAATTAGTCACAAAGAACTTGGAAACAGAGCAGCGAAGCAGTAAAGCAGAAACACTGAGTACAAAAAGCCATAGACTTTCTCACTGATTCTTCAATGATTTGCCTTACAATTCTCACTGATTAAACAATTCAAATCGTCTCTAACGCTAAGCTAGAGAGAGAGAGAGAGAGAGCAAACCAAGTGAAAGTCGATGGATATGAGAGAGCAGCGACGGCGGTGAGAGCGACGACGAACGGAAGCAAAGCGGACAAAACCTGAGACGAATCGGTCTTCTCCATCGATTCGTTTCCTCCACAGAAAGATAACAGAGACATGTTCCCATCTCTCCACTGTAATCCCACTCTCCCCATAAAAGGCGTCGTTGAGCAAGCTACTTCGCCGCTGTTTCTCCTCCGCCGCAGTCTAAAATCTAGAGAGTTACTAAGAAGCGATGATGACGAATCGATAGAAGAGAAGGATGAACGAGAAGACCGTAATTGACAATTGAAGCACCGCGATTTCGCGGGGAGATGAGAATCGGAAAGTGTCTGTTTCGGTATCGCCGGTGGTGAGAAAGAGAAAGAGGCGATCGAAGCCATTATTCTTGGGTTTTTTTTTGTTGAACAGAGCTTAGAATTTGATTATCAACGGCGGTGGATAAAGCTTAAGCGCCACCGTGAAATGGCGCCGTGGACCACCGAGGAAGAAGAATTGACAAGGTGAGGTTCCAAGTTGAACAAGAAGCAAAAAAAAAAAGGGATAATATAGAAATAAAATATTAATATTATTAAAGGGAAAAGATTTGTTAAAGGTTTAGCTAATTGACAAGAATGAAAACTTTAAACGGCTGAAATTGGTTCTTATTAATAATAGTTACGGCGTGATTGTCGAAGAACTTTCAACTCTTTAGGTTTTTTTACTTGGTGTAAAAAAAATAAAAATAACCCCTGTGAGCATGTTTGGTTTGTTTATTTGGGTGAAAGATTGTTGTTTGATTGGTCACTGTTAGGTTTAGAGGTTAAAGACGTGGACCTCTTTAAAAACAAAACAAAACAAGAATTGAATTCAGTTTTGAGAAAGGGAAAGAGAAGAGCACACGAGAGTTTAATACGACACCACGTACGTCTCGCTGAGACCTTTAATTTATTTTATACAATAAAAATTCGACTTTCCTAAATCTTGTGCACACCTCAAACCACGATAGATGTTTTGCGTTTGATATAAACATAACATGCCAATAACTTGCACTTGTGTGAGATTCCAAGATATCCAGAACTCGTTCAGCAGCTATCTACGAGATTTGCGCAGTAGTTGAAGTTCGAAGAAAGCTATAAAAAGAGCAAAGAGTTGCAAAGAGAATTCATCTTTTACCTAATTCACAACTTGTATACTATACAAACTCCCATATTCTTATACTCTTATATTCAAGTGTATGTTAATCACTATAATGTAGTTTATCATTTAAAGTTTTCTTTTGGTTGGTTCTTGAAAAGATTTATTTTTTTCATTCTTATTCCAATTTATTTAATCATTATACAAGTGTAAGTTTTACTGTCCACAATCTTAGAGCAATCTGATATAAATATAAATACTGTAATAACATAAACCAAACAATTGTTTTGTTTTTTTTGTAAAACTGAAATTTGGTGATTTTTTTCCTTAATTTATAAAAATTGTTAAATAATGCGACAACTGAATAATGATAAGAATCCTATGATTCACATCACTAAAATAATTAAAAAGCGTAATGAAAACTTTTTTAGTGTGTACTTTAAAACTTGAGACGAAATAACAAAAGAGGGAACAAGAAAATGAAGAATTCACAGTTATAGTGATCGCGTCGAATCCAACAATTTCAAGTTCGCTCATTCCAATAATTGAGTTGCCCCAAAAAACCACCAGAAAACTGATAAATACCATTTATCCAAAAACAAGTTTCAACACTTGGATTTTTTTAGTTGATATCTTACCAACCTCTACAATTATGTTTTAAATAGAATGAAAATTTGTATCAATGTGTTCGTTTACATTGTTCTTCGAGATAAAACTATTTTGTTATAATATTATAGAAATATTTTGTATTTGAAAAAATAACAGAATGAATTTTATATTTTGTAATCGTATCCCCTATATATTAAAAGAAAAATATTTTTAAAAAATAAACTTAATTTTGTAAAATATTACGGTGGTGCCATTTTGCTGATGTGTCATCAACAGAATCATTTTCAGCAAAATTATAAAAATAGATTTATATTACTAGATTAATTACATGTTATGCCACTCACATTAATTTGGTTATACATTAGTTTATAACTTTATATCAATTATATTAATGATGATTTATCAAGATATTCTTTTTTTCTATTTCTTACCAAAAATTAATCATATTAATTATCTCTTTAAATACTATATTTTATCTCTTATTTTTATAGAAAAATAAATCATCACATCATTCATATAGTAAAGTATATATACATATATATATATATTCTGCTATAATTCGAATTTCATTAAACAAATATAAATTACTCAAATGATTAATAAATAAAAGTATGTTTTTAAAAACTAAAATTGAAAATAAGGATGTGTAGATAGATGATTCATAAATCAATATAAAAATACATAAATGATAAAAAAACAGAAAGCTTAATTTAATATATATTATTATTTTTAATTTATACAACAAAATAATTTGGTAAAAAATTAAAATATTTTTGTAAGGATATTATATAATAATTTTATTAAAATTTTTGATATTAAAAATATTTTTATTGAATCAAAAAGTTAAGAATGTATAAATATTGACTCAGTTATATACAATTTTAGATAATTTATTAAAAATAATAAAAATATAATATTTTATACAATTCTTATGTATATTTAGTATTTAAAATAAATTTCACAACAATTTTATTTTCTTAAAAGTTAATATTCTTATGACTATTGTTTTTGCGGGTTAATCTAAATATGCATTTACATTTGTATAAAAAATATTAAAATCGATTATAAAATCTTATAATCAAATTTTATGTTTATAATTTTAATACTCTCTATTTCAAAATATAAGTTGTTTTGCATCAAAGCACAAAGATTAAAAAGCAACTTTTCTTTAGAAAAAAAAAATATTTAGTATATAAATTAAATATAATTCAACTAATTATGAAAAACTGAAAAATATAATCGGTCACATAGTATTCATAAGAAGTAGTAAAAAATATGAAAACAACTATATTGTAAAACAAAACAAAATTTTTTAAAAAAAAACTAATATTATGAAACATAGGAAATAGTAAAAAAAAATTATTATTATCATAACGCATTAGATACTTAATAATTTAATCAAAATATACTCCCTCTATTTTTTTTTAGAATTTTAAGATCATGTTATTAATCATGGGTTATAGAAAGTATAAAGAGTGACTTCGTATTTCTATCCAGATTGCGCATATATATTTAATTTTTAAACTAATTTACATTAGGATTAAATTATCCTAAAATTCATAAAATTAACAAAAAAAACATATTTTGTCAATATTACAGCATGATGTTATAAAAAATTCAGATAAAATCAATTGTATTTTGTTATGTGATTTTAAAATTATATTATATTAAATCAATAATTATTATTTCACTCCGCAGGGTTATTACCTAGTATAGTACTATAAATCTAACTACACAAATATGAAATATATAATTATTTCTTTAATCCATAGTATAAATATCTGCTCCTAATTTTTTACTTTTTTTTTGTCTGTTTATGCATGTTACAGTTGTATTTTTCTTATTTGACCTAATATTGTAGTTTCTTATTCCAGTCTTTTTTTTCTTGTGACTGACTTATTTTTACCATACCGAACAAATTTTCTTAAATTCCCAAGATTTTTTCCCATTTATACTTTTGCTCTATATAGATAGATATCTGCAACGCAACTCATATATGATACATAGATATCGATTGTAACGACGGGTCTATCTTCTTTATCAAAATGGGTTGGTTAGTAGAAGCTCTTGTTGCTTCAATATTGTTGTCTTTGTGTTTTGCAATAACTGAGTCAGCTCCTAAATCTGCCCTTGTCACCAAACTCCCTGGCTTCAACGGCACTTTTCCATCTAAACACTATGCCGGGTAAATTCAATTTATGTGCTTAGAAAAACTCTAATCGTCCAAGTAGTTTGATTCTTGATTTTCTTCCTATGTATTATAACTTCCTCTAATGGAATTTTGTTTCTGGTTGAAGGTACGTAGCAATAGATAAGGAGCGTAATAAGAATCTGTGGTATTACTTTGTGGAATCAGAGAGAAATGCTTCACGAGATCCAGTTGTGCTTTGGCTTAATGGTGGTCCAGGTTGTTCTAGCATGGATGGATTTATCTACGAGCATGGTAAGCTTCGTATAAACGTTCTTGTGTCAAAAACAAGATACTTTGAGTAGTGGATCGAGTTTTAATGTTAGAAATAAAAGTTAGCTTTCTACAAATTTTAAAATTAGCTTTATTTCGATCCATGATGTTAAAGAAAGAAGATAATATATTTTTTGTGCAAAGAACGAAGATAATATACATGATGCACTTATCATCTAATTCGATACTATTGCAGGGCCTTTCAATTTCGAACGAAAGAAGACAGAAGAACCTCGTTTGCATCTCAATCGTTATAGTTGGTCAAAGGTGAAAGAAAGAACAACGACTTTAGAGAAACATAACGCATGGTTTTTATATATATAATAAATTATCAAATGTTTTTTGTTTGTTTGTCAGGTTTCTAACATCATATACCTTGACTCCCCCGTTGGTGTGGGCTACTCCTACTCGAAGAACAAGTCTGATTATACAACTAATGATGCGGAAACTGCGACTGATACTTACGCATTCCTTATCGAGGTGAAATAACATTTTAATAGATTTTTAAACAATGTTCTTTGTGTTGTGTGTACTATTCATGAGATTAACCATTAGATCCAATGTTTCCACAGTGGTTCAAGATGTTTCCGGAGTTTCAGTCAAATCCATTCTATATCTCAGGAGAATCATATGCTGGTATCTATGTGCCAACACTTGCTTCCGAAGTTGTCAAAGGTCACATTATCTATCTTTTGTTTTTGGATTTTTTCACATCATCTTAACTCCTTTTCATATGATGTTAATAACAAATATAAATGCGGTTTCCAATTTTCTCTTCATTTTCTTGTTATGTTGTAGGAAATAAGAATGTAATGAGAAAAGAAAAAAGAAACGAAACAAGTACGAATCATAAGAAAGTGACAAAGCCGGTTATCAACTTCAAGGTACAACTAATATATATATATGGAATATAACAATTGCGAATATGTTTTACATTCAAAGTTCATTATGGTTTTGATTCTTAAATCTTAAAATGGACTTACAATATTTGTATAGGGATATTTGATTGGTAATGGAGTTACTGATCAGGTGTTTGATGGTAACGCTCTAGTCCCATTCGTACATGGAATGGGACTCATCTCTAATGAACTCTTTGAGGTTTGGTTTTGTTTCTCAATTTCTCTATAACACTTTCTTTATTCCCCAATGCTATTATCTAATGTGTAACACGAAATGGCAGGAGACTAAAGCGTCGTGCAAAGGACATTACTATAACGAGAACAATGGAAATAATGAATGCTCTGCCTCGCTTGCGAAAATTACAGATGATGTGCAGCCATTAAACGTATACAACATTCTAGAACCGTGCTACCATAAAACATCTATGACCGCGTTTGACTTCGGATCTCTTCCTCCGAGTTTCCTTAACTTGGGGCAAACAGAAAGGCCATTGCCAGTGAGAAAGAGAATGTTTGGACGTGCATGGCCTCTAGGTCAAGCTGTGCGTCCAGGCATTGTCCCTAACTGGCCCCAAATCCTTGCTGACTCCTCGGTTCCTTGCATTGTGAGTACTTAACTATAATATGCACCTTCCTCTTGTTGTATATGTTTGGATATATATATGTATAAGAAATTATAGATTCGTTACATATTATGGCGATTTCATACCTCTATGACCATGTACTTTTGGGTTTATCCATTTGTATCTTAGATATAGATATAATTAGTTTCTTACAAAATTGTAAAAACAAGGCTAGTTTGATCATTATACACAAATAATTGCTAGTTTGATAAAAAAAAATTAGTACTATAGTTGTGACAAGTTTCATCTCATTGTATTTTTCTCCACTACTTGTAATGGATGCAGGACGATAGAGTTGCAACGGCTTGGCTCAACGATCCAGCGGTGCGGAAGGCGGTTCATGCTAAAGAGGTCTCTATATGATTCATTATACATATATATTTCTCTTGTTTTAATACTAGACAACATTTTGAGATCTTGAAATTCTCTCGGAAATGTTTATAGAAAAGCGAGATTGGAAGATGGATATTGTGCACAAATCAAATCGTATACACTCATGATGCTGGAAGCATGATCCGATTCCATAGAAACCTCACTCTTAGTGGCTATCGTGCTCTAATTTTCAGGTACATGAACATAAAATACCTTCAGGTTAAAAGTAAAACCAAAGAAAATGTGTAGAAACCAATGTGGCATGGTCTAGTTGTGTTGTTCGAGTGGTATAAAAGACTCAAAACCAGAGAATGAATCTCACCATCTACGATCAACATCTTTGATTATCTCTCTTTGGCCAATATAGACACTTGAAGTGGCAAGAATATCTGGTTTATACAGGAATCTTGACCTACAAGAAAGTGTTTAGTGTATAACAATTTTAAAACTTTTGCAGCGGAGATCATGATATGTGTGTACCATATACTGGCTCTGAAGCATGGACTAAGTCAATGGGATACAAGGTGGTCGATGAATGGAGGCCATGGATGTCAAATGACAATGTCGCTGGGTAATAGTTTTCTCTATAACTCTTTTTTTCATACATTTGCTTCTCAAACTCACCGTTTCTACAATAATTTGGTACCGTAGGTTTACACAAGGGTATGCCAACAATCTCACATTTCTAACCGTCAAGGTAAGCATCACTCATTTACTTCTTATTTTTACAGGAAAATGTTGTTCATGCGATTTTGATGTTTGAATGTTTTGTTTTGCAGGGTTCCGGCCATACTGTTCCGGAATACAAACCGCGTGAAGCGTTAGACTTCTATAGCCGTTTTCTAGCAGGAGAAAAGATGTAGATCCATCAAGTATTCATCTCATCATCTTGCGTTATGTAGTTCATTAAAAATTATGTCTTCTTTGAGCCTAAAACATCCATTCTAATAAAGTTCAAGTTTCCCTTAAAATAACTTCAAATTTTAAAAAGCAAAAAAAAAATCGTCTAATGTGATTAAAAGCGTCTTGGGAACAAAAGAAAACTTGGGCAAGATAACCCGTCTCAGGTTCATCACAAAAATTGGCAAATGAATTGTGACTAAAAGCAACTGTTTAATTAAAAAATACTATTCTGGTTGCAATTTAAGGAGGTTTGTAATAGGGTCCCTATCAATACATAAAAGAACAAGAACTAGATTTTTATATTTGAAAAAAATAAAATTGTATGATTTTCAGATATTATAACCATAATATTTTAATCTAACTAGGTGTTTTCCCGCACCTTGTACGGGGTTCGATTTTTTTTTATTTAAAAGTATAACATTAGTTTATTTATAGATAAAAAATCAGATTTTATAATGATTCGAAACAAACTTGATATATTTAAAAAAAATACAATTTTTATGAGTATATTGTTTTTTGTGACAAAGCAATATTATCCGATAAAAATTTATATATACTTTATTGTTTTGTTGTATTTATCAAACATGATAAATAATTCACTTCTTTTGATGTAAATTGGTAGATTAATATTAAAAAAATTTAAAGTTTGCATAAAAAAAACATAGCAATCCAAAATGACTAAAAGCAAAGGATTTTTGTTTCATATCAACTTAACATTAATTAATATATATAGAGTTTTAAAAGGGTTTAAATAATTTAGGGTTTTACTTGTGGTCACATAAATCAATTACGTTAGTCAAAAATATTAGTAGGTTAAACAATCAAATTAAAATTAGTTTAATGAAATAATTAGGATTTTTTTTATTTATGCTAGTTATCTTTTTTTAGTAAACTGAATATTTTTATGATATGAATTCGAATTTAGAAATCTAGATTTAAAAAAATGAAAATCAATTAAAAATTATATTATATTAATTTGTTAATTTTATTAAAAATAATTAAAGTAAATTCACATAAAGGGCAAAAGATAATCAACCATGATAACTCTCAACCACAGCATAACTTGCTTCTCAATTAATAATATGATAACATAAAATAATAAATCTAAAAATATTAGGATTGACTGCGATATTGTCCCCTGCTCAACAGAATCTGTTTATTTCTCTTCATAAAGAGAATGAGACGATTGAAACCATCCCTCTTGTTTTTTTTTTTTTTTGGCTGAACAAAGCTTAGAATTAGATTATAAATGGCAGTGGAGAAAGCTGAAGTGCCATAGTAAAAGAGTGATTTACTAAATAAAACACTTTATGAGTTTGATTTATAAAAAAGCACTTTTCTTAACTAAGATAATTTTTTTTGTTTTCTTACTTTCTTTGACATGTGTTTTTACTATAATTGCCCTTAATACGGTGAGAAGTAAAAAAAATAACTACAAAAACACCACCAAGACATGTCTGTGTATCCATCGTAAGAATTCCATAAAGCATTGTACATAGGTTAAAATTATGTTGGACTTTCGTACTAATAATGTGTATTATAATCTAGGTCGCGTTCATCCATCTCGCTAGTTCCAAAAAACGACATCCACGAAATGCAATGGATGTCTATCTAAGTAGAATGGCTTTGTCCATCCATAACGATCATTACATATACGAGTTTCTACATATACATATATTGTTTTCTGTAAATTCATATTGGTGACTGTGCGCATAGATATCTGACATAACACACATGTTTCTTCATGTATCTCCACCATTCCATATGCGAGTATCCACATGTACAATCATCAGGTTTGCTTGGTACTAAGTTTAGCTTAATCTTGTATAAAACTAAGCTTATAGATCAATGTTTGACTTCAATATGTATTATGTTAGCATGAATGGTAATCTATGGAAATAATAATGTAGATAAGCTTCGTGGAGGAATACATAGGAAAGGTAACTCTATGCATAGATATCTACAAAAACATACATTATATCCAGCTATCTCCACTGTTCCATATGCGGGTATCCACATGTACAACTATCAGACTTGCTTAATACTAAGTTTAGCTTAGATTTGACTAAAACTAAGCTCAAAGATGAATATTTGACTTCGATACATATTATGTTAACATAAATGGTAATCCGTGGAAATGATAACATGGATAGGTTTAGTGGAGGAGTACATGGGAAAGGTAACTCTACGTATAAAAATCTGACAAAATACACAGATTTGTTAATCCATTTTAACTATTCTATGTGAGAGTATCCACATGTACAACTATTGAACTTGCGTATAAGTTCAACTTGGACTTACATAAAACTAAATTTATGAATGAATATTTGACTTTGGTATATATTATGTTGGCATAGATAGAAATTCATGGATATAATAATGTGGATAGTCATACTGGAAGAGTAATTAGAAAGAGAAAATTGATATTTATCGAAATACAGATTGTGTACAATGTTTAAAACGAGAGAAAGAGAGAGAGAGAAAAAAGAGAGAGAGTATAAATGACTTTTGTCATGTCTAAAGTACTCATGTTGCATAAATTGTTCTTTCTTGTAATTATAGTTTCAAGAAAATATATTTAATGTAATTTTCTCCATCGTGAAATGGGGTCGTGGACCGCCGAGGAAGGAGAATTGGAAAGGTGAGGTTCGAAGTTGAACAAGAAGCAAAAAAGGATAATATAAAAATAAAATATTCTTTCCATTCCTAATTTAATGTTTTGGATTTTTTTTTTCTTTCTCAAAGATTGATATTATAGGATTAATTTAATATATTTTACTTGAAAATAAAAATTTACATTACTTTCATTAGTCCAAGGTAAAAAGCAAAGAAGAAGTAGCTACTAAAAATTTATTATTTTTTAATATCTGTAAAAAATCTAAACATTAATCTAGTAGAAACAGAGGGAGTATTTATACTATTAAAAGGGAAGCATACTTATAAAATATTCAAAAACTACCGTGGTATTTATAATATATACCATTGAATTTGCTAGATAATTTTATTATTCTAGTAAGTTAATAACATCCTACCAATTGTGCTTAAACGTGAAGATCATTTTATGTAGTACTAGTTGGTGATCCGCGCTACGCGCGGCTATGTAAATGATTTTTATACATTTTTTGGTATTATACTTGTTGTATCGTATATCCTTGAAAATTTTAAGATGAATTTCTATTTCTCACCTGTACATGACTCGAATTTTCTATTTTTTGAAACTCTAGTTTGTGATCTACCCAACACAGCGAATTTGGTAATCATTTTATGTAATTTTTATATTGTATTTATTGTATCATATAGCTCTGAAGATTTTATGATTTGTTTATTATTTTTATATTGTGTTTGTTATCAATTCAAAATTATTTGGTTAATTCAAACAAATAAGAAAATAGAACATATATGATATTAAATATCCGAAATATCCATTTAAGAGTTAAAATTCATAAAATTATATAATGTTCTAAAAATTCTTCGACTTTTTTGAATTTTCCCAAAATATTTATTATGAAGTTGACTTTCATCCAAATTATTGAGAATTTATCAATAGATTTTAGATAATGCAATTTCTCGAACCTGTCTCGTTACTCGAATTTTCTATTCCATTTTTATTGGATTTTCTTTGGAAATCGTTTTCCGTCTTTTTAATTACTAATTTCTATCACACACTCGTAAATTTCCACCTTGAATTTTGAAATACCCAGAGCTAATGTATATCATAATTTTTGGTTTTTATTTTATTTTAGAATTTGATGATTTCTTATTTTCTAACAACACATTATAGTTTAACTTTTTATGTTTGCTATTTTTATATTGAATGTTAATATTAGTTTTTATTGTTTTCTGTCTTTCTAATTGTCAATGCTCGTTAGACACTCGTAAATTTCTGCATTGAATCTTGAAATAAACAGAACTAATGTATATCATTATTTATTAGTTTTTTATATTGTATTTTTAATTTTTAATTTTATTTTATGACAACATATTGTAATTGTCTTTTTTATGTTTCCTATTTTTTATATTGAATGTTAATACTATTTTTTAAAATATTTTTTGTCTTTCTAATAATCATTTCCCATTACATACTCGTAATTTTCTGCCTTGAATCTTGATTTACTCATAGCTAATGTATATCATTATTTTTTATAGTACTTTGTTGATTTCTTTTATTTTCTGACAACACATTGTAATTGTTTTTTTATGTTTGCTATATTTTTATTAAAGTTTAATATTTTTTTTAATTACCAATTTCCGTCACACACTTGTAAATTCCCATTTTGAATCATGAAATACTCAGAGCTATTGTATACCTATTTTTTGTTTTGTTATTTTGTATTTTGTATTTTGTATTTTGTTGATTTTTATTTTCTGATAACGCATTACATTTGTCGTTATATGTTTGTTATTTTTTTATATTGAATGATAATGTTAACTTTTATTTTTTCCGTTTTTCTTATTACCAATTCCCATCTCACACTCGTAAATTTCTACAGAAAATTTTGAAATACTCAGAGATAATGTATACAATTATTTTTTGTTTTGTGTTATTTTCTTTTATTTTCTGACAACATATTATAATTGTTTTTTATATTAAATGCTAATATTTTGTGTATTATAAATATTTTGCTCTTTTTATATTGAATGTTAAGTTATTTTGCGTCTCAAAAGAAATTAAATAAAATTAATTAATGAAGTGGTTGTTGATGTGACAGCACCAAAAGAGAGAAAAACTTATTTCATATGTTTGCTATTTTTTATATTGATTTTTAATATTATTTTTTATTATTTTCTGTTTTTCTAGATACCAATTCCCGTCACACACTCGTAAAGTTTTGTTTTCAATCATAAAATACTGAGAGCTAATGTATATTATTATTTTTTTTGTTTTGTTATTTTGTATTTGGTTGTTTTTTATTTTCTGACAATACATTATAATTGTGTTTTTATGTTTGTTATTTTTTATATTGAACTAGGTATATAACTCGCGCTATGCGCGAGTCTGTATTAATATTTTGGTTATTTTTTTAGCTACTATTTTTAAAATTATTAAAAATTATATATATTTATAGAAATTTTAATTTATATAAGAAAATTTAATATATAAAGTG